ATGTTTTCGGGCATTTTGTACTCGTGAGCATCCTCTGGTTTCTCGTAGTATTAGGAGGGAGACCCATCGCTTTGCCTCATGATTATGTTCTCAGCCGTTTTGTACTCGTGAACATCATCTACATTATCGTAGTCGTAGGAGGGAAAATCTTTGCCGCGCCCTATGGCTATGCTCCCTTTCTCAGACGTTTTGTATAAGTAGGCGTCTTCTAATTCGTGTCCGGAATACACCACTCTCCCACTCTCCCACGTGATCTCCCACGTGAAGATACCGTAGTTCAGCCGCGGCAGGCTGCGGGTAGGTGTGGGTACAAGTGACACTATCACTGGGACTAGCAAGTGTTTCTTTTTCGATGCCGAATGTGTGGTCATACGTATGCTTTGGGCATTTAGCATCCTTGCGTTGAACTTTATCATCTGTATCAATGGCTTTTTTAAGGTTGTTGATCACGTCTTCCTTCTTAGAGCTACCGGTCCTAATGTCCTCGCTCTCTCCATTGTTGGTGTCTTCCAGGAAGAGCCTTGTGTTGCTTGTAATTGTCGCCATTCCTCCTTCTATTAAAATATAATTTCATCCATCTAGCAATAAGCTGTTGGCATTGTTACTACATGTTGTAACAGGCAACCATTAATATCGATAACACTATTCTATCGATTACAAATGTTTTATGATTTAGGTATTTTAATGACCTACACATATTTGACGATTGTATTTGTTTTCTAAAATTTTTAAGTCGTTTTTTTTTTGCAATTTGAAAATATGGAATGTCTTGAATAAATGTGCTAACCAAATTAGCTGTAATGTCTAGACAATTCATTGCCTAACTTGTCATTAAATTTGATAGACCAGACCCTGAATGCCATTGCGGGATCTGGATCGTCAACATATCGGACCAGCCATTTAAACAATCGTTTCTAACTTTTAATACATTAAAGAATTGTAACAACTAAAATAAAACACTGGCAACAGTTGGCACCACAATATGAGCATTTGTCATTGACACAGGTACTAAATGGCACATGAGATTTTTGTTGTTTTCATGTCAGAAAGAAATTGCAGTAAAGATTCCCGATAGGTTGATATGATTTACTTAAAAGTAGAAGAACAAGTGTTATATAGGAAAACATATAATACATTGTACATTTTATTGTATCTGCAACGCTTTCTAGGCAACCAATGCAGTGTTACAAAACAGATTTTTAAAGTCAATTTCTTTTAAGGTAGTAAGATGAATCAATCCAATCCCATAGCATACTGATATCTGTGAGGCAAAAATGTGATGTAACGGTTGCTTCTTTTTTATCCGAGGCTGGTTCTACCTATTTTTGGGCAGTACCCAAAGTATACGTACCCACAGGAGACGCCTACCCTGTTTTGGTGCTTTTTCAAATGCTTTAAGTATGAAATTACGAAGAAAATGTGCTAGAAAATGGCTGTAAATGTCAATATCTCCAAAAAGACCTGAACACCCTGGAAGAATGGCAAAGCAAATGGCTCATGCAGTTTAATCCCGAAAAATGCTACATTATGCACATAACAAACAAACGAACACCACATGCAACAAGCTACCAGTTTTGTGGTCAGGCTTTAGCAACCACAAAAATCCATCCGTATCTGCGCGTCACGCTGACAAGCGGACTGAAGTGGGGTGCACATGTTAATAATATCACAACTAAGGCGAAACAGACATTGGGAGTGATTAAACGTAATCTGTGGGCATGTCCAACGAGAGTAAAATCACTTGCATACACGTCACTTGTAAGACCGAACCTAGAATACGCTGCGACAGTATGGGATCCATATACAAAGAAAGACAAAGACAAATTGGAAAGGGTACAGAATCAAGCTGCAAGATTCTGTATGAACAACTATGTAAGAGGTGCTAGTGTCACGGAAATGAAAAGAAACCTACAGTGGACCTCACTTGAAGACAGAAGAAAGATGTCTAGACTATGCATGATGTACAAAATGACTAATAAACTGGTGGATGTCCCAACTACTAAGTACCTAATACCAGCCCAGAAGAGAACAAGAAATAGCCACGCATTCAAGTACCAGATTTATCAACCAAGGATTGAAGTGTTCAAGAATTCATTCTTTCCTAGAACTATCGCAGAGTGGAACTCACTGTCACCAAGTACAGTAGGGGCACTGTCAATAGATAGCTTTAAACAATGTCTAGAGCTAGAAGTTCAAGGGTTAGGTGTAACAAGTCGATCGGTGTAATATAGCCAGCTGCCGCCGCGCCGCGTGCCTGCGAAGCTGGTGTGTTACGCCGAAAGGCGGTTATACCGGCTATACAGATACAGATACAGATACAGAATATCAGACAGATTTTCTCATTCAGAATATTTTGTTTTGTTGATCTAAAATTGCAGTTGTAACAGATAAGAAATATGTAGTTAGAGAACATGTGGTTCTGCTGAGTTGCATAAGAGAATGTATATGAATTTGAACCAGATGTAGTCCTGCTGAAGTCAGGGAAACAACCAATTTCTCGGAAAGGCGCTCTCTACAGGAGACTCCTCTTATCTAAGGACTTCCATGTGTTAAGGAAATTCCCCTGACCTTATTTGGGTGAGGAATCCTTGCGTCTTCCAGGAAACTAGGAATGCCTGACTCAGTAAGTTTGGCAGGATAAAAGGGAGGCAAGCTCCCTAGTTGCAGTTTTAGCCTGAGCCCTGAGTCAGTGCCCGTGTTCCCATAGCCTGTGTTCCTGTAGTTTGCCGTCTCCACGAAGTAAGTTTTAATGTTTGTCTACTACACAACGCAATGTCCGTTTAGTAATCGTTAATGTACTTTTAGTAATTGTTAATGCCCAGTAGCTGTTGATCTTTGATATCTGTTGTCCAATAAACTGTACTGTCACACAAGAACGCAGTATCCGAGTGGTCGAACATTCTGACTCTTTATAGTATTATTAAAGTATACTATGTAAGAGTAGAACTGGGTAATCCGACGAGTTACACATTCAATGACTCTAAGAAATACTGATAAAAATAACTGATACTGATAAAGATAAAATACCTCAGCTTGTTCAAATGTTGACAGCAGCAAACGTTTAGTCCTGTCTCCAATTCAACTGAATTCAACAAAATATATCCAAACTGGTCACGCGAATAAGGCCAGACTAATCAGTAGATATGATTTGGTGCTATAGTGACAACAACAATTCCATAAAATGACTTGCCGGAACTACAAAGAAGAAGAAAAAAAAAACGTCAAAGGTTGAGGTTTAGGAACCATTGCCAGACGGATCTAAATGATCAAAAAATCGCGTGGGTAGTAGAGTTCAGAAAAGTCGTATGATCGTTTTCAATATGCATGTGGCTGATTGTACCTTTCAGTCTTTTCTCGCGACCTTCAGGATTTGTTTTCGCGACCTTCAGGATTTGTTTTCGCGACCTTCAGGATTTGTTTTCGCGACCTTCAGGATTTTTTTTTCGCGACCGTCAGGATTTGTTGATATTTAAACACACCGAGAACATTTTCCTTATTCAAAAAGTGGAAGGATCTTATACCGTAGCGAAATACTCAGTTCATCGATTTATTGTTTTGATTATCATAAGATTGTAATTTTTTCCCTAAAGTTGTCCATATATTTTTCCACTGGCTGCTATAAGAAAAAGGACATGCATATAGCAGAACACTACATCATTTATTCAAATATTTCCAAGATGTCCAAGCAAGCAAGCAAGTACTTTGTTTGTTTGTTTGTTTTTTCAAAAATTCAGCATTTGAATATACAACAGATTTATATAAAAAAAGTTATATATCTTGTCGTCCTACTAACACTCAATCCAGCATTACACAATTTCTTCTCCAGATATTGAAAATTTAAGTAAAGCATGGATTGTTATTACTTTAGTGATACATTCTTAAGATTTGAATTACTGTTTCTACAGCCTTTTTTTGCACCGAATGCAAAAACGAATTCACGCAAATCATTACATTGTCCAAAGTGTCAACTCAGGATCATGTCAGCCTCACTTGATTTCATGGCCCCTCAAAATCAGAATGAAATTTAAGTCGTTGTTTTATCTTATTGTGTGAAATTCTTGAACATGTCTACTACAACGTTGTCTTGGTTGATACAAAATACTTTACTAGTTTCTTTTGTGTTTACCTTCAACTCCTGCTTACATCATTTAAAAATCACGAGTGCTTTCAGACCTAAAATTCAAACCTGTGTTTTGAGAAGAACTAGTTAACATTTGTGCTCTTTTAAGTGTTATTACATAATATTATGAAAACTAATGATCATTTCAGCATTACTTGACATAAACACCTCTACAAGAGTGGATCAAGTCATGTTTTTTTCCACAAGCATAATTATTATTTTTCTTTTAGTCTGACTATTCGTGGATCTGTCTATTGAAACGTTCTTTTACTACGACATTGATACAAATTAGAAACAAATAATTCGGACTTAAGAAACAATTTTCTTTTGTTTACAGTGCTAAGAACCTATGACTTTGTAGATACAAATCGGTTATTTTGAATAAGATCACATGTCCAGAGACAAAGGAGATTTAAACCCCATGTCAGTCGGTAAATGTACACATCGCATGTATCAAGGTGTTATATGCTCGTTTATCAAAAAGAAATATTAAGACCGATATATACCACTTACAGTTTAAGTAAAGTAGTACTCTTACAGTATCCGCCATCTTTCTTCAGCTACTTAAAAGTAGTCACGTGACCAAGATATTAAAGGTCAATGTGGGTTTCGTGACTGACGTGGATCATAATTATTTTTGTAATTTACATGAAATAAACAACAAAGATACAGAAAAGCATCATTTTAATTACGGATCCACAGAAAAAAACGTACAGTGGCGTTACACGTAAAATTACAATGAGCTGTATACAAACATAATTTAAAAGACAGTAGTAGATAAAAAAAGGATTATTCTTTGCTGCAACGCAGTCAAACACTTTTGGTCTAACACTGTCTTCCATCAAAGCTGTTTTAACCAGGTAGCGCAATTGGACGTTTGCTATTTTGGAGTCTTGCAAACGTAGGGAAGCTTCCAGCTGCATATGTGGTCGTTCCACTGCCCTCTCTTCCCCTTTGCGCCGAGGAGGATATTGCTGCTTTCCTGTTGAAATGTTACAAAAATCAAAGACTTCGCAAATAGCTTTCATTTTCCTTGTCCAAAATGTTTCACATCTTTGAATGTATCTTACTGTAATGCTAGACTTTGAGCTTGCTTGAACATGGCATGATGAAAACACAAATCTATCTTATTAACGAATCAAAATGATATACGAAAATGTTAGTACCTTGGAGTACATATTACCACAATGCCCAGTCTTGCCCCAGATGTTTTTGCCAGGTTCACCCGGAGCCCAGTTTGTGTAGGACAGTGGTGAACCATCCGTCCACTCCCATCGTCCACCCTCACGCTTCAGTCCAAAATAGACGAGATGTCGAATATACCGAGGAGGGGCTGGAATTTAAAAAAAAAAAATGACATTTTGATGGTTTCTGTGAATTCGTTGCGAGATGTTTGCATTTGTGTTAATAATGCTATCTAAGATTGATCCTTTTAATTAATGGCAATGAACAACAACGACAGGTTTTTTTTCAGCCTACAAGTAAACAGTTCCCCTTTATCTAATATTAGATATAAATAACATGATTTAATCTTACACTGAAGACTTCACGAAACTATAACCTGATCAAAATATTTACGGTGGTCAAATCTGGTCTGCAAAGTACCCAAATTTTCTAGAACCTGAACTGCGTTCGATTATGTTCGATCTGGACAATTCGAACTGAACGCGCGTTTCATTTGCGGGTCATCTGAGGCCATTTACATTAAACCGCAAATTCAGCCCTTTTCTCCTCCGTGCCTCGCAACAGCTAGAACAAAACAACACTCCTCGACAAATACAGGCCGTTTTCTTGACAGTAACGTTACGTGTACACTATCATGTTGTTGTGGACATGTAACATATAGCGAAGCTGTCGTATTCGTGGGTGACCTTGAATATTCGTATTCGTGGCTGACCTTGAATACTGTTATGGTTCTTTACACCCGTATCAATAACACACTCCCCCTGACAATTGCACGTGGTACGATGTACGGCAACAACTATTGAACTATCGAACAAAGTACAAAATGATAGAATAAATCCTAATTAAAAGGAGGGCTTGCCGCATCATCCTGGGAACCACCTACACAGGATATGACCACGCACTACAACACCTCGGATTGTCGTCACTTGCCGAGAGAAGTGTGTGAAGTTTGCTAGGGCACTTGTGAGGTCAGAGTACAGAGACTAGCTACCTCCTCAGATCTAGAGATCACAAATAACTGGCCGTAGTACTAGAAACAGCGAGATGCTAGACTGTCCGAGAGCTAGAACGAATACATGTAGATTTAAGAACTCGCCTATACCGTTTATGGTCCAACTCCTCAATAACTATGGGCTGAACCCCTGACTGTTGTCTTTTTAAATGTAGTAGTGTTCTGTATCAAATGTTGTCCGGGAAATTGATAATGTATGAAATATGTATTTTTATAGGTTTGTTAACCGTACGCCTATATTGGTTGCAAACCTGTAGTTTTAATATACTAATGTTTTGTAAATTGGTCTACAATTCAGTTGTTTTTAACTGCGAAGAACCAATAAATCCATCTTGAATCTTGAATCTAATAGATCCTGATTACTTAAAATACTTACAAAAACTTACGTGTAAATTCAAAGTATCAAATTGATGTTATTGTTGTAAGAAATACCTACCATCCGAGATGAGACGTGCAACAAACTTGTTCTCTTCAGCGCTTGTAACAAAAGCAAGGTTAGCACCACGCTGTTTGCATTTGCTGTTCGCGGTGGGCCAGTTTACCATGTTTTTAAACAACTTGTAGCAGTTGTTGTTATATTCGGTCCACCCACTCTTACATCTTCGGGCTGTAAAAAAAACGCCAGTGTTGTAACATCTGTGTCCATAATATCACCAGGGTCCATAATATCGCCACCTTGAGAAAAAGTGTGCTTAAAGATATTTTTACTGCAACATACCCTAGGTATGTACATCTGAGGTGTGCAGGAGTGATTTGATTTGATTTGATTTGATTTATTAGGCTGATAACACATATGTATGCAGCCAGGACTGCCCAACTAGCCGGAGGCTATTATAAAGGGCTAGCCCTCACAACAATAACATAAACAATTCGGAACAGTTAACAGTGTCAGTTACAATTCAGATAGACATACTACCGGTACTACTACATAACAGATGTTATGGCCAAACGTTAACAAGCTAGAATATCCGGCCTGGTCGTCGTGCGTTTACTACAATTACATTTATATGTCAGGTTAATATACTATTATATAACAGATGTTGTGCACTATATTTACATTGTCAATACAATATTATTCTATTGGACTATTTACTAAGTAGTTGTCGTCAAGTATTTATCAAGTATTGTCCATAGTTTCTTTTTAAAGGAGCTGATGGAGCGGGTTGTTCGAGTCTCGCTAGGGAGAGTATTCCAGATAGTTATAGCTCTGATTACAAATGTTCTCTGGGATCTGGTGGTTCTACAAACGGGTATGGATACCAAACGTATGTTGCATGCAGTAAAAATATCGTAAAGCACACTATTTCCCAAGGTGGCGATATTATGGACCCTGGTGATATTATGGACACGGATTTTAACCTGTCAAGGGTTACGAACAGACATTCGGTACAATCTCTCGCTAAAAAGTTGTTGTTTTGGTGACGTTTGTATGCATGTATCTTTGTATGTCTGCATGTGGTAGCACGATAACTGTAGCAGATATTATTGTAGATGGAACTCGGCATGTGGGTGTCTTGATCGAAATAAATAGATTCTGGGCTCGCACACAGCTATTTTATTACTGCTGTGAAATATGTTAATCTATCATTAGGTTAATGATGTGGTCAACTGATATTATTTATGAAAATCAATGAAAAAAATTAACAGTCTTCAATGTTAAAACCATATGGCAAAAGTGTTAATGCGTGATGCTTTTGTCTCAGTATTTACGGTCATCATAGAAAAAACTTACATTGATGACAGTTCGTTCCAGTCCATCCGTTAAAGCAGATGCAACTATACCCACCACCGTTGTTCTCACAGCGTCCATGCTGGCATGGGTTTCTGTAGCACTCATTGATGTCTGTGATCAAAAGGTAGCAATAGTGTTCATGTTAAACAACTTCTCTGTAGTCTCTTTGGGACCGAAGTACATATTTTACAGCATTTTTAAAGGAAAAGAAGTAAAGATTAGAAAAACATATTTTTATTCAGCCAAACAATTATTACCAACATTAGGGACTTTTAAAAAATCACCTTGCTGACAGTTCTGTCTAGTCTTCCCGTATGAGCAGGTACATGTGTATCCGCCATTTTTGTTTACAAAGTGTCCATGTTGACATGGTATGTGACATACTCATTAATGTCTGCGTGAAAATGCAAATTTTCTTGCGTTTTTCCAGAAACGGAGCTATGAATCAATGTTATATGTAACATAACTTATTCATATAATGAAATCATTTGCATAATTTATGAGAAAAAGCTAGAATTGCATTCTTTGTTAAGATAAGACAGATGTTTGGTGGAGAATATGAGCAACTAATATAATTCATGAAAATGAGAATCCTATTTGCATATTCAGAGGAATAATCAATAATTTGTCAGTCATAAAGATTAACATCATTTGGCGAAGGTATGAGATTGTGGACTTCTAGCAAAACTTGACCAAAGTAGGAAGGTTTCAACTCTACGCGCTCCTTCTAGCTTGAAGGATTCCAACTTGATATTTATAAGGACAAGGGGGCATTTAGTAACTAGGGACTAGCTAATAGAATTTCCATTTTGGGGTCTTCACTGTGCAACGCAATGGTGACATCAGGCCTTAACCTGTTGGAGACTTTCAGAAAGGAACCTAGCTAACAGTTCTCTCCGCTAACATACCAACAGTAGAGACTTCGTGGAAAAAAAAGTTACCTTCATGACAATTCTTTCCAGTCCACCCGTCTGAGCAGGTACATTTGTATCCGCCATCTTGGTTCTCACAGCGTCCATGTTGACATGGGTGGGTGGCACACTCATTGATGTCTGCATGGAAATGTAAAAAAATATTCTTAGGAGTTGTGCGTCAGGTCTAAGTTGTTGACCAACTTTTAAGTCAGTAACCAAACATGAAACCAAACTTGGGAAAAAGGAAAGAAAGTCACAGGAAAACCCTACCAAATACTCTAAACATGTCGGATATTCTATAATAACTCACCTTCCTGACAGTTCTGTCCAGTCCACCCAGGTGAGCAGGTGCAGTTGTATCCAACATCTTGGTTGACACAGGTTCCATGTTGACATGGGTTTTTGATACATTCATCCAGGTCTGTTTGAGGGCGGAAATGACAGAAATCGTTACATACCTCCATATGCAACTAGTACGATTTCGGATGTCTGTCATATCGAGAACTGATGTAGTTGGTAATAGCTAGCTGTTCTAGTCCTTTTCTTTGCACCAATATTTCATATACACCAAAGAAAGGAAAGAAACGGGAAGGAATGAAGACAATACCGGTCGAAACTAGTAAATGACACATAAAATCTGAGATTCTTAACCAACATTTAAGAACTATAGAAGGATTGTCATCCTCAATAACGACCTAAAAGGAAACATAAAATACATTTTCACACATTTTTGACCATTTTCACACGGTCCCAGTACGTCCTACCGACGTACGTGATCATTACTTACCAGTGGTTGGCAGTGACGTCAAAGTTGTCGGCAAGGTCCCAGCATCAAGACTGGTGCTTTCCAACGTATACGAAGAACCTGGAGTCAATTTTTTTAGGGATGAACTGTTTTTCATGTCTGGCATCATTATGTTCTCCATCATCATAGCGCTCTCTCCATTCTTCAAGTCATGTGCCACCAAAAAAAATACAAATGAGCGAAATCGCACAGAGATAATTTATCTTTGGTGTGTGTGTGTGTTTGTATGTGTGTGTTTTCATTCATTATATTAGCCTATTCATTAGTTTTACATACATTTTACACTATTATTCCTGGAGTAATGATATAAATAACTGTGTGGCTAAAACGAGACAGAGTTCGCTAGGCCCCCATTCCAGTGATTTGATTACCAACTTCGCTAGAAGTATAATTATGACCATCGGACACCGGAACATGCCCTTGTTCTTTTACGGAAGGTGTGGTGAGTTGTAACTCTGCCCAAACAAGAGACCCCCTTTTAACGCCCTACCCGAGGGACGTCCTCAGCCAAAGCTTGGCACTGATTTTTAACTGAGTAAAATAAGAAAAAGTCATCACTGTACATTTAGGCTTTAATACATGTATGTAATCTCTGGTACGTGGAACATTAGCAGAGACAAATTATGCAAAAAGAAAACCTATTTAGCATAATTCATACAAAAATACTATGATTTGTTAAAGGTAATTGATGGGCATTTTATACGTGTGACATGTATATGCTTATTAGATATGTAAGGTAACATCACTATGCATATGTTACGTTAATTTGAAGGTCATTTGCAAAATTGATATATCAATGTTGGGACAAAACCTTGCCAACGGAAAAGACTTTCAGTTTTACATGTAATTTGAGTTGATGAAAACATAATGGAATATATTATGCTCCATGTTTTTATCACATCTCCATGATCTATAAGAAAAATCCCAAAACAATATAAAATTACTGTTGCTTTTGCACGTCAGGAATCACCACAGATTCAGTGCATTTCTAGTTGGTTTATTCTACGTCTAAGGTTAGTAGGTACAGTGCTCAATGCCGTCCAGATGGTAAAGAGATCGAGTCTCTGGTCTCAGCGTTACTTGGCAGGATGGGCTATACTATTACAATGTGTAGGGGTGTTATCTGTATTCTTACTTCGTGTAACAATTACAAAGGTTCTAAATATTTTTATGTAGGTATGAGATCTCTGAATTCCTGTCTCCTTTTTTCGTGGATGAAGACAACTAATTATTAATATTAATAACTGACCTTTATGCCATGTATTATACAAAATGTCACCATTGCCAACGTTATCGCCAGGAGACCACAGCCCAGTGCAAACCTGTAAACTCTTTTAGACTTTACCATCTCCATCAGACGGGCTAAGATGAAATATAAAAAGTAAAAATATATCAAGAAATGTATGTGGAATGTTACAAGTCCAATACATATCACTTTAGATTTAGATTGAGATACTAAATCCGAAAATTCATGGGTGTCATCTACATATATCTAGTAAAACAGTTTCCTAACATTTTAGTGATATTGAAAATATCACAAGAAAAGTAGTGTTGTGGTAAGCATGGATCCAAAATGCATATACATGTATGTTGTATTCAATATATACACCTAGACTTACCTCTAGCCTTGAATACAAAGCTGGCACCTTCAGGGTCGTACCCATGGGCATCCTCTGCTTCCTCGTAGACATTGGAGGAAGAATCTTTATCGTTTCTCATGTTCACGTTCTCAGGCATTTTGTATTCGTGAGGATCTTCAGGTTCCACGTAGTAATGGGAGGGAGAATCCTCACTGTGCCCTCTTCTCATATTCTCAGCTTCTTTGTACTCGTGAGCATCTTCTGGTTCCTCGGAGGGAGAATCTTCGCCATGGACTTTGCTCATGTTCTCAGCCTCTTTGTATTCGTGAAAATCCTCTGGTTCCTCGTAGTTATAGGAGGAAGTACCTTCGCCTTGGACTTTGCTCATGTTCTCAGTCTCTTTGTACCCATGAGCTTCTTCTGGTTCCTCGTAGTTGCCGGAGGGTAGCCAGTCGCTTTGCCTCATGATTATGTTCTCAGACATTTTGTACTCCTGAACATCCTCCGGTTTCTCGTAGTTAACGGGGAGTGAATCCCTAGAGTGTCCGGTGCTCACGTTCTCAGGGGGGGTGTATCCGTAGGTGTCTTCTGATTCGTGTCCTGAATACACCACTACGTGATCTCCCACGTGAAGATACCGTAGTTCAGCCGCGGCAGGCTGCGGGTAGGTGTGGGTACCAGTCACTTTATCACTCGTACTTGCGGCTGTCTCTTTTTCGATGCCGAATGTGTGGTCATATGTATGCTTTGGGCATTTAGCATCCTTGCGTTGAACTTTATGATCTTTCTCAATTTCTTTTTTTGGAGTAATGGTCACGTCTTCCTTCTGAATGCTAATTGTCTTGGCGTCCTCACTCTCCTCATTAGTGGTGTCTTCCAGAGATAGCTTTGTGTTGATTGCCGCCATTCCGTCTTCTAACAAAATATAATTTCATACACCTTGCACTGTTGACATGGTTACTACATGGTGTAACAGACAACCATTAATATTAATTTCGCTTATTCTTATTGATTACAAATATTCTACTGATGTATGCATTTTAATGACTTATACTTTCTATATTTGACGTCTGTAATCATTTTATGAGATTTAAAGTCGTTGCTTTTGCACTGTGAAAATTTCTTTTAAAAATTAATGTTCTAAATAAATTAGCTGCAATTCAGACTATCAATTGTTTGCCTAATTTTATTTAGTTTTTCCTTATTGCCCCAACTCCCAAAAGCCAGTGAGGGATTTGGATCGTCAAAATATAAGACTAATAACCAACCATTCAATCGAAGTATTTCTAGCTTTTGATAAATTGAAGCATAGTTTCTATCAAGAAACACCGGCAACAGTTGGCACTAGAATATGAGCATTTGTTATTGACACACGTACTGAATGGTAAATGGGATTTTTCTTCTTTTTTTTTTTATGTCTGAAAGAAATTGCTCGACAACATCAGTAAAAACAAAGAAATGATGGGGCCCCAGGAAACATTCGCGGTAGGTTTTGATACTTAAAGCTGAAAACTGTTGTTTTTTTATTCTAGGCTGGTTCTAGTAATTCATTGACGATACAAAAAAAGGGGCCTCACGTACTTTGGACTACTTCAAATGCTTAAAGTATGAAATAATGAAGGTGTGCTAAGAAATGACAGTAAATGTCAATATCACTTTTTCCAGTCCCAAACATGTTTGTTTTGCCTTCCTGAAAATGCAGTCAATGCCTATAGGAAATGTTGATGAAAATAAGTCAAAATACCTGTTCGTTCAAACGTTGACAGCAAATCTTCTAGTCCTGTCTACGATTCAACGAAATATTCCAAAATCGCTGCGCAAAAAAGCTCAGACTAATAGATAGCTATGATTTGTTGTTACAGTGAGAGCAACAATTCCATATAAGGTCTTACCAGAACTACATAAAAGAGAAAAAAACAACTTCATAGCGGCACTTAAAGTTTGATGTTTAGGAACCCTTGCCAGACCAATCTGAAAATTTAAAAAAAAATGGCGTGGGTGCAGCTCTGAAATGTCGTAGGATCGTTTTAATATGTATGTGGCTGATTGTACGTTTCAGCCTTTTATCTTTGCCTTCAATGACTTAGTTACTAGACACGTTTTTTTTCATGTAAGAGTTGTTGATTTATACCGAAGCTGAGCACGTTTTTTTATATATATTTCAACATCTAATCATAAGACGTGGTGACGGCAGACTTAAGTTTTTTTTTAAACTTAATACAATACAATACTAATTTTCACCTGAGCGAAGTGAGGAAAGTCGTGTTAAGTGCCTTTCCTAAGGGCACAAGATCAGTGGCATGTCAGGACTCGAACCCGGGACCTCTTGATTCCGTGTCGAGCACTCTGCCGCTACGCCACACGCCCCCACACCTCGTTTTTCTACTGCGTCTCGCGATCTTTGCCATAGTTAACAGTCCAAATACCAAAATATTCCCAAACACTCCCATCTTGAAGGTGTGTAACAGTCTCCACAGCTGTTTTAATTACAGGCTAGATGTCATATCCAAAAAGTGCAGATGCGTTTCTGATTCAAACATATTCAAAACTTTATCCAGGAACTGTATCTGTGAGTGCGGCTCATTCTTTTCTTTTAATACAATGTTGTAAAAACGTTAGTGAGAGAGGTGTGTTTATATTACGTACCATATTTATTTGATCATATCAAACATCATAGACATCGGCCTTTAAATAACAGTCACTACAATCAGTGATATATAAGTAGATGCAGGCAATAATTAACATGTATCGTTAATATTTTCTAGGTATGACACATCTTTGAAATTGGTGACATCTGTTCTGCCATACCCTCGATTGTTATGTTGAAGCTTTGGAAATAAATAAATGTCCAGTACTACAGTGTTTTGGCATATTTAGGTAGATGATTAGTGCTACATAACTTAAGCTATATTAAACTATTATACCAAGTATAAATAATTTCCTTATTAATCATGCAAACATAATTCTATACAGCATAATTTTCATTACAATGAGTATCCTGTCTACATCTCATCTCCCTGATCTACTTGCATATCCAAGATCATGAAAATTTTCTTTTCTTCATTTTTCTCTGTGAAATGTTTTGACGAATACGCCCCTGTAGTTTCAGTGCAAGCTGCTTGTGGGGGAGGGGGTGGCAAATTTATGCCAATTCTTTCCGAACACAAGATGCTTGAAAAGTGGTTTTTTTTTACATTTTGCAGTAAGACTTTACATAGTAATAATGGTTTCTATTGAAAACCCATGTCTGTCCTTTCCTGTTGTAGATTGAATGGTGTTTGTACATATTTGTATATAGTGTGTTTCTGTTTACTTGTCCTGTTTTTTTTAACCAGTTGTTTGTAAAAATGGAATACACATTACAGGGGTGCATCAGCATTCCCTGCTTTTGTATGATTTTGTCTGATTGAATTGAATAAATTGAAGATCTATCTACCAACCACAGATTGTGACCCAAGGACGTCTAGATCACGAGATATAACCGGTATTGCGATGCAGTACATACAAAATCCGCCAGGGGGCCTGAAATCTAACCATTTCTAGTTTGTGTGAGAACTTTAATACTAACACACCAAATATAAAACCAATCCATTGAGCCATTCTTGAGTTGTCTTTGTGACGAACGAACAATCAACACACACACACACATACACACACACACACACACACACACATACACACTCACACACACACACACACACACACACACACACACACACACACACACACACACACACACACATATACATATACATACACAGAGAGAGAGAGAGACTGCCTAAAATATAACCTCTATTTATCTTGGGGTTTACAAATTGCAGAATGATCTATTTTTTTGCAATCACGTGATATCACGCACGTCATGAAAATTAGCGACCGAGAAGCAAACGGTGAGATCGTTCCATGCGACCAGTGAACCAGGTACAGCTGTGAATACGGTTATATCAACACACAGTTCTTCACAGAGGCTTTAACTTCACAGTTCACGTGTTCGGAATTGGGAAACACGTGAATTTAAGTGCAAAGAACGCGGTTATCAGCCGTGATATTGACTTTGCACCATGTGATGGGAAGCTACGTCAGCAAAAAGGTAAATATAGTTTTCCGCCCACTGCGTAGCAAGCTTTGTGTATACCAGATCTGAGTGAGGCAAAGAGGCACCGTACTACCATATATTAAGTCTTTCTGGAAACGCATTCAAGCACAATGGCGAGTAAGTTTCCATCGCCTGACGAGTTTGATGACCAGTTCCTGACGTGTGCAGTCTGTATGCTGCACTACCGGGACCCCAAAATCCTGCCATGTCTGCACAGCTTCTGTAAGGACTGTCTGCAAGAATGGGCCACCAAGCAACAGCCGCTGGAGTGTCCAACCTGCCGCATACAGGTCAGTCTACCAGACCAGGGTGTGGACGGACTCAAGACCAACTTCTACGTCAACAACCTGCTGGACTTCGCGGCGGCCAAGAAAGGGGCGGAGCCAGGTGTGCCGTGCCAGGTGTGCGAGGGGAACGTGGAGGGGTCAAAATCGTGGTGCGCCAACTGCGCCAAGTTAATGTGTGAGTCGTGTACACAGGTACATCGCAAGTTTCCGCTTTTCGAAGATCACGAAGTTACCAACGAAGAAACACTCAAGGCTGAGGAAGGTATGAGCAAGTTCCATCCCAAACGGCACTGCCAAAAACACAAGAAGTACGAACTAGAATTCTACTGTGAGAGCTGTAAGGCTTTGGTTTGTACGGCGTGTACTGTGGTCGACCACCGACCGGGCAAAGATCACAATCCCGTAGAACTCGCCACCGTGGCTCAAACAAGGAAAGAAACACTAAGAGGACTTCTGCAAGACATAGAACCACGTCTGAAGGAAATAGAGGCCTCTGTTGAGGAAGTTGAAACAAAGATCTCAAACTTAGACTTCGCGAGGGAAGAAGCCACCGTCCGCGCCGAGGCGTATTTCAACAAACTTGCTGACCTTTTGCAAAAGCGTAAGAGGGAGATTTTCAGCCAGATTGACGAACAATGCCGAGTCGATGGCAAGGCTCTACAGATAAAGAAGGAAGCGATAGAGTTTGAGTTGACCGGACTGACGAGCGCACAGACGTTCTGCCAACAGGCTGTAGAACACGGAAGCGACGTGCACGTTCTGGAGGTGGGAAACCAAGTCCAAACAAGGGTGGAAACTCTGCTGACCAAACAACTGGACCTGGAGTCCGACTGGAGCGAGTTTCAGTTCGTCGAGAACACTGCTCTTGTTGACCTGGAAAGAGAAGTGGACAATTTTGGTGGCATAATGACAAGTGTCGACGTTTCGAAGTGCGAAGTTGCTGTCAAGCCAGCAATCAAGGGGTTTGAGTGCTTCGCTGAGCTGACGACAAGAAACCAACAAGACCGCCCGTGTGCTACGAACAGCAAAGCCGTCAAAACTAACATGAAGGACCCGTCCGGAAAGACCGTGCCCACACAAGTACAGATGAAGAGCGAAGGCTTGTGGGAAATAGCGTACACACCCGAGGTTACGGGTAAACATGGGTTAGAGGTCAAGGTCAACTCGCAACACGTGTCAGGAAGTCCGTTTATTGTTGACGTGAAGGGGAACCCAGTGTTGACTATCGGACAGAAGGGTAACGGGGTGGGGGAACTGAATGGACCGATAGGTGTCGCTGTTGATAAAGAAGGCAACATTGCGGTGGTGGAGCGTTACAACAAGCGAGTCCAGGTCTTTGATGGACACAAAGGTCACTCCTTGAGTACTTTTGCAATCGACGGTGAGAATCCGTTCGGCATTGATGTGGACTCTGGAGGGAGGATTCTTGTGACGTCATGGGGTGAAGATCACGGACTGAGACGCTACTCAAAGGAAGGTAAGCTTTTGGACACATTCAAACCGGACTGCTTGCTCTATCCACATGGCTTTGCAGTTCTACAGGACGGCCGCATGGTGGTGTTGGACAACAAACAGAAGTCCTGTCTCCTCCTGAAGCATGACGGGAGCATCATCCGGGAGATCGGTAAGGGACACCTCAAGAGGCCAGCCTTCGTGTCGTTAGACGAGTCACGTGGGGTGTTGTTTGTCACAGACAGCAGCGCGAACAAACTATTTGCGTTTGACCTTGAAGGAAACTTGACCTTGGACTTTAGCAGGCAAGGTGGGAACGGTGGCAAACTGAAAAACCCCTTCGGCGTAATGGTAGATCCGGCAGGCAACATCATTGTAGCGAACAGTGGTGACGGCCGTGTGCAGATTTTCGGGGCTGACGGAAGGTTCAAACGGACTGTAGCTACCGTTATGGGAGGGTCCGCCACAGGCATCGCTCTGACAACTGACGGTTACATAGCGGTGGCGTGTTGGAGTGCACACTGCATAGAACTGTACAAGTACATGTAAAACCCGCTAATTCAGTCGTCATCGAACATCAGCATGTTTTCTGACTAGAAGATAATATGATGATTGTTTAACCTGGAGGTGAATGATGTCAAGCTTAGAATGACAAGTTCAATGCTAGCATCTTCTTGAATTATCTTATGCCAGCAATTTACTATTATTACATGTATGTTGCAATGTGTTTTGATAGGTAAAGTTGTTTTTAAATCTTTGAGTAAATTATGTGTATTAATCTCCAAGCATATCACGTTGGCTAATGGGCACTCTTATGGACAATAGATACTGCCTTGCCACCGTATAATCTGCTTGGAGATTAGAGTACTAGTATTACTAACATTTAGTTTTCGATTCACGCATATTCTTGAAATGATCGTATACCAGGGATTTCTGAAGGTACTGTTTTACATGATAGTGTTTCAATTTACCTTTTTAATGTTTTTCTAGTTTTTCAATCTTGAAATGAATTACATGTAAAGTCAAGTCATCAATGACACAAGTTTAATGGTAGCCTTGTCTTGAATAATCTTATGCCATAATCATCTTAATCTTAGCACTGGAGATATAATTAAAAGCTTTTACCTGCATATGATAGTGTTTCAATTCACTTTTTAATGTTTTTATTGTCTCTAAATCTTGGAGTGAATTATGTGTACTTTTTAGTCATTTTAGGCACAAGTTAAACCGTAGGATCTTCCTGAAATTGTCTTATGCCAGACATTTCCGAAGATATAATCAAGTTATTAAATAATAATGTTCCAGTTCACTTTTCGTGGTTTACAGTCTGGTCTCAAAGTTGTTACCTTTAAAATGTTATAGTCATGGAAATAATATACCCATGTTATAACGTTCACAAATATGGCAAATTTTGATAAAGATAAATAAAATCAAAATGAATATAGGAATTCAATGGCTTTATTAGACATGCTGTGCACGGCATCACAGGTATAGCCGTAATTATGCAAGACTATTAATAATAAAAGTATAAATTTTAAGGATCAATAGATTACAATATTAAAAGCACATATTCTAATTTCACATAGAGGTGAATATTTTATGTAAACAGAGTTAATTTTTATTTTTTTACAGAATATAGGAGTTTACAAATCAAATGCAATTCAGACAGAATAAAAGATATCATTTTTGGTCTCCAATTCTACAATAAGACAACCGTCGGCATCATCTTATATTTTAAAATAATATAAACATTAAAATAATTGTAACAATAGACTTTTTGTATACTTACCCTCTTTAACCCTCAACAGTACACCTTCCCGGACTGATTAATCTGTACACCTGGGGTCCGCGCGGACCCCAGAACAGTTTTTTGCTAATTTTTAGAAATTATCAACATGTTACCAACTCAATTGTTTTGCAAACTGATGTGGGAACCTTTGTGTCCACATTACATACAAAAATCATACATTTTGAACTTTTTCTATTTTTTGGTGAAGAAAAGAAGACAAGAAGAAATACCCAATTTTTAAACCCATTTCAGACTGAAGGGGCTTTTGAGGCCCAACTTTGATCTCAGATAGCGGCTAAACGGCTTGCGCTAGAAGTATCAAATTTGGAGACCTTTCCTAAAATGTCTCTGAAAAAAGTTCATATTAGTTTAATACTAGTAAGTTGATGTTTTTTTGTGTTGCCATGGCAACGGGCTATTTTTTTGAAAATAGAAGTAATTTTGGTTTAAACATAAAAATTTTCTGAGTTTTATATTAAATTACACTTCTTTTCCAACATTAATAACATCTTACATAATTAAATATAAGTTAAATCATTTAATATGCATAGAATATGCTAATTTGACGACGTCATTGGTCAAAATCCAATATGGCGGACTATATTATTAGCTCTGACGTCATATGACGTCATAATTACACCAAAGTTATTAAAATTTAATTCTATTACTACTCCATTCTCTGAAAACTTGGTAGACATACGATGAGTGCATAAAAACATATAAAAACGGAAATAAGGTAATGTATAAGAACGCCAGTGTATCCATTATGATCAAAGGCCGGCTGGGGTCCGCGCGGACCCCAAAAGAAAATCAGATATAATTTTTTTTATAAATGGTAGAAACGGAGTTTTCTGCACTGTATTGAGAGACAACTTTGTGGGTAACAAATACCTAAAATTTCAGAAAAAAATCTTTAGAAACAAAAAAGATATTACAGAATATATAGTGCTGGGGTCCGCGCGGACCCCAGGTGTACTGTTTAGGGTTAAACTTACCCCCATGACTTAACGAGTAGAGTTCAATTCTTCCATAAAGAGGAACATAACAACATCAAAAGAAGGATAGCTTCCCTGCGCAAGGCACACGACAAAAAGGGGAATCCACAAGCACCTGACGTTTTGGAGGCAAAGTTGCTGTGCCAGCTTCCAATTCATGTGCCATATCACCCTCCAAAAGTGGTCAGTATCATTCCTGTGCTTGCGAGTAGGCAAACAACTAATAATCAGAACTATCCTAAATGATATATCTTTGTTCACAACTAAAAGGTTAGTGTAGAAGAAATACATGTAATGACAAACATTTTTTATCAATGCATGCCACCATGCATTACATCTTTAATACTACTTTGATCCAAGGCTAGTAAACTTTAAATCTTTTTAATCCGTCACAGATAGTGTAAAACGACAAGGAATATTAATAAACAGGCATGTTTGTATTTCCAGAGTTCAGAGGGAGCGGTTGGTGGCCGTACTTTGAAAGGTGAGACAAAGTATCTAATTATATATAATTCAAAAGACGACTAACGTCACCAACATACATTTCCAATAAATTTCGATAAAAGGACTCTTTTGTTTTGCCAACATGTCGTTATAGGTCTTATAATTTGATTTGTATAGTCTTATCAACGTGACAGTCTGCCGCTATATGCTATCACCAAAGCCACGTAGAGCCACGCACAGTTAATGTTGAACATTTACCTTCATGCCACAAGTGCGTTTCCAAAACATTACACTGTGTAATCTTATTTTTCAGACATTCGGAAGACATTCTATTTCATCAAGGAAAACGTGAGCTCGGATTGGCAAGATTTGGCCTTCCATCTTGGATTTGAGAGGGCCGACATTGACAACATCGCCGGCAGAAACCGTGACGACAAGTCCTGCTGCATGGACATGCTGCAGGAATGGAAGAAGAAGAAGGGAGACGCCGCTACCATAGAGGTCCTGATGGAGGCTCTGTCAGAGGCAGGGCTGCAGAGCGTCGTGGATGAGTTGAAGAAATATCCACAACAAGTTGCAAACTATGGGTAGGTATGCGTTGCTCGATGCAAGTGATTTTGTAAATTTTGGACCTGATATTCAACCAAAAAAGCAGAAACATGAGTGAATTTGTCCCCAGCCACATTATGAGTTTTATTTTTTCTATCTTTGTTTTGTTTTGTAAAATTTGTTACAACGTTATAATATGAGGCTGAGGCGCCTAGCAAGTGGTCGTGGATAATTCATCTCTATTTTCTTGTGCCACCAGGCTGAGTCCACCGGCAAGGGGACAAGAAGAAACTGCCCGCCGAAAAGGTAATAGTCGACATCATATTGGCGTCTATCAAATTTAGCAAGATCATTTTCCCTGCTAATATGCTTGTATTTCGTTTACTTGTAAATGACAAGATTATTGAATGAATTTTAAGCACAATTGATAAAACAGCTTTATTGCCTGTTCATCATATTTTGATACACGCCTAACATCACATTCCATTTCAGGCCTTCTTTTATTCCTTTTTTTTTCAGGTCATCCGGAGAGGGGGGGGGGGGGTTCAAACAATTTTCCCAATATATTACATGTTTGATATTAACCGTAGTGACAGAAATGTTGGTTATACATGCAGGTACAGCCGGTAAAGCAACGGTGAGAGAAACATTAGTGTAACACCCGACTCGACGATCCTCGTCAGGAGTCCACTGAGGTATCAACTGAAGTAATCCTGATAATTAAAGTAGCGAAAGACATCTAATACTTTTCTAGCCCAGTATTGCTCTCAACCAATCAAGTCTCGTGTAAACATTGCTAGACGCAGTTTTTTGTTAGTCTCCACCAGACTCCTTTGCAGGCTGAATAAATAGTAGAAATCGGCTAAGGAGAACATCATTGGCCAGAGGAGTTGGCCGGCCATAGAGGGTTGACCCAGCTTGCCTGCCGGTATGGCTGGTATGCCGGCAGGCAAGCTATGGCCGGCCAACTCCTCTGGCCTATGATGTTCCCCTTAGCCGATTTCTCAAACGTAGTCAAAAGTAATACAGTTTACTCAACAAGGGTATGCTTCGGTGCAAATCGAATACTTACCATGAGAAGACAGTTGACCTGCCTCTGCAACAGACATGTTCGTGCTTAGAGCGTTTTGAGCATATTCCAATAAACCGTTAGGGGAAGTGTCCATACTAAGTGAACTTCCTCACTGTACGTGTCATTTACTATGATGAGCCAACATTACATGTAAACTTGAAACTGTTGGAAAATTGTAATAGCGATGAAGAACAATGTAAATAGAGGTTATGGCAAGGCCATTATATGGAGAGGGTTAGGGTTGAATTGGCAATTGATTGTGGAAAGCACAAGAGAGTTAGGGATTTTATTGAAGAGTTGTTACTTCCTTGCAGCACAATGATTGTCTTTATCATGATTGTCTGTCTTTCAATCTAAATAAATCGTTCCGAGAATCATCATTTTCATAGAACTGACGTCCTCACGATCATTGTCTTTTTATGATCAACCAACGTTGAATGTAAACTAGAAACTGTAAGAAAATTGTAGTAGCAATGGTCCTCCATCAACTAAATACATGATCACCCACGTTAAGAGCACTTTGACAATTTCTAGGATTAATTCATTATCTTCTGGTAGTTTTTTCTTGTGTATGATAGACGTATTTTGTATGCTCTATCGGCTACTATTGTGCTTCAGCTGCTTTCTTGTAACTATAGTCTGCATCCGTCTTGTACACCAAACCTTGCAGGGAAGTGATTTTTGATATTGCAACTTAATTA